TCCGAAAACAGCAGCAGCAAACAGCGCGTCAGCTGCAGCAGCAAGTTGCTGCAGCCAGTGAACTCCTTGTGCAGCGACTGCGCAACTTGCCGCCGCAGCTTCCCACTCAAAGACCCCATCAGCGTGTTGTTTTCCTGTAGCAGCAGCAGCAGCAGCAGCAGCAGAATGTAGCGGCAGCAGCACGCTGCAGCAGCAGCTCTTCGCGCTGCCAGCGCCTACGCAGATGATGGAAGCAGTTATGCGTGGCTCCAGCTCCAGCTAGCCAGTAGAACAGCTAGCCAGCTAGCTAGATAGCTAGCTACATAGCTAGCTAGCTGGCTGGCTGGCTAGCTGGCCAGCTAGCTAGCTAGTCAGCTAGACAGCTAGCTAGCCACCAAACCAGCCAGCCACCTAGCTAGCTAGCTAGTCAGCTAGCTAGCTAGCCAGCAAACCAGCTAGCCAGATAGCTTGCTAGCTAGCCATCTAGCTAGTTAGCTAGCTAGCCAGCTAGCTAGCTAGCTCTAGGTCCTTACCTCGTTAAGCTCTAGTGAGATCTCGAGGAGAACCCCAAGGAAGACGCACGCAGAGACGAAGGCCTGCTGCTGCTGCGCAGGCGGCAGCAGCTGCTGCTGCTTCTGCTGCTGCTGCACCAGCGCAGCAAATTGCTGCGGGTCAGCTGTGGGGTCGTTGAGGTCTGGGCTCTGCAGCAGCCCGTCTACAGGAAGCCCAGTGGCTCCTGAGGCTAGCTGCAGCAGCAGCTGCCTTGCTGTTGCTGCAGCTGCTGCTCCAGTTTTGCTGCAGCAGCACATTGCTGCCAGGCACTGCGAAGCCTTCATCAGCAGCGAGAACGCGGGCACATTCGACTGCTGCGCTGCTGCTGCAGCAGCTGCTGCTGCAGGAGGCAGCAGCAGCGCGTCGTGCTGCTGCTGCAGTGTGGGCTGCTGTATCAGCTGCAGCACGCACCGCTGCAGCAGCAGCTGCTGCTGCTCGTCCCAGCTGGAGTGCCAGTTCTTCTTAACAGACTCCAGCAGCAGCTGCAGCGCAACAAGTTTTGCTGCTTCATCATATCTGCGGTAGGTGTCTGCAGCAGCTTCCGTGGCAGCAGCGTTCTGCTGCTGCTGCTGCAGCTTCTGCTGCTCCTCCTGCTGCAGCAAAGCGAAAGTCTTGCACTTGACCGACAGCGGCGGGAAGACCGCAAAAGGGTGCAGCAGCCACTGCAGCAGCTGCTGCAGCTGCGGCTCCTGCTGCAGCTGCAGCAGCCACTGCGTGGCTT